ATAAGAACAAAGCAAAAACTGAAGGAACAAAATAGCAGCAGACTCACAGACCCCAAGAATGGACTAACAGTTACCAAAGGGAAAGGGACTGGGGAGGATGGGTGGGAAGGGAGGGATAAGGGGGAAAAGGGGCATTACCATTAGCACAAATGGTGTGGGGGGTGGCCCAGGGAGGGCCGTGCAACACAGAGACGACAAGCAGTGATTCTATAGCATCTTATTACACTTATGGATAGTGACTGTAATGGGATATGTGGTGGGGACTTGATGACGGGGGGAGTCTAGTAACCATAATGTTGTCCAAGTAATTGTAGATTAATGATACAAAAAAAAGATAATGAGAGCTATTACCATGTGTGAATTGTGAAAGCAACTTCCTTATGTTGTGGTAATACTCCAGAAAGTGACGTTCACCGAAAGGTGGCTCTGCAAATGGTTTCCAAGTTCAGATAACTTGCTGTAGCTGAGTATAGCTTCATCAGCCCAGTTTCATCCTTCCAGTTTGTTTATGACCTGACTTCAATTCAGTTAGAATAAACAAAATGGAGAAAATGGAGAGGGAGGAGTGAGGGGAGGGGAAGGAAATCTAAAGCTTGGGGTGTCTAGGCCTTGAGGCTGGAATGCTTGCATCTCAACCCCTGACAAGATGAGAAATGAAGGATGTTCTCAGAGCTCATCTAGATGGTAAAAGCATTTAGGGGGCATCAGGTCAAAGAACTAAGTTGTCAGTGACTGGACAGGGCAGGGAACACCAGTGTGGGCCTTGAGCCTCCCCCACCTCCACTCATTTCAGGTATAACTATCCTCATGGCTTCAGGTCATGTACTTTGTTCCAATTCACCAAGTAAAATGAATTGAATTCACAGGAGCATCCTTTAACAGTGTTGAACTGAGTGTCAAAGTGCTCCCTGCATAGGAGTGACAGCCTCATGGTAGGCCTTTATTTATTAACTTAAAGTGTTTTTTCTAAAAATCAATCCAGAAATGCTGCTTTTCATAAAACTTGAAAATAGTTTGAAATTAAGGCTGTGAAAATTTAATAAACATTTTTTGCAAGAAGTGTTTTGGAAAATATCATGTGGAAGTTATTCAGTGGTAAATAAAGTTTTACTCCTATCATGTATTTCTTTGATTCTCAAAGGTCAGGAAGCATGCTCAGGATTGTAAAGTCCTTAAGGGAAAAAAACCCAGGATTCTGCTTCCTCTGGGTTATTCACTGAATTTAGAAGTTTCAACACAAAGACAAAGGGTTATCTCCCATTGGAAATACAGATGTTAGTATAAACCAGACGCTTTTGTTGGCTATTTGTAGTTTCAGTTCTTCAACATTTTGTTCTTAACGAGCTGAATCAAAATAGTTACCCATTATTAAGAGAGCGACATGGGGAAAGGGAGGAGGAGGGAGAAGACAAGGAGGAAAGGGGAGGAAGGGGGAGAGAAACCTTACCTTGTTTTGTACCCCCAGAAACAGAAGTGACTGAAGGAAAAAGGCAATGTATTGGGCTCAAGTAAATGAAAAGCCTTAGTGTAGTTCCATAGGGCCCAGGGCTCAAATATCAGGACTCAGTGGATCTCCCTTCTTGGGTATAGATTATGATTTTTTGGTTTCATTCTCAGGTGCAATAGGAAGCTCAAACCTTTTCAGACACTACCTTATCTTTTAACCATCTGCACTATTCATTTGCCCAACAGCCTTTAGCAAGTACATTTCTCAAAAAAAAAATAACATTAGCCCTCAAAGTCTGCCCATGACACTATATAACCTTTAAAACATTAATATACTGACATGACTCCAAACAGAATGAATATTGTAAAGAATGTGTATATAAGTGATGCCTGATCTGAGCCTTCTGAACTTTGAGACACAGATAGAATCCATTTCTCTGATGATTTTTAATGATGATCCTAAATTTTTGTCTTATCAGTCTGATGAAATCATGATTTCTGGGTGAAGTCCAAATGCCCAGAGTTCTCTTTGGTCACTGGTTTTGATGTGGATCGTGAATCTTGCTTCTCAATGTTCAATTTCTCCCTCTTCCTTCCTTTCCCTCCACCATCCATTTTGTTTAATAAGTAAGATTTTTTAAATATAAAAGGAGCTAACTTGAGATTTTCTAAAACCCATATTCCAAAATAAAAAAATACCACGCCGACAGTAGTTTGCAATTTTCATAATTTAATGAAAAAGTATTGGTAAAAAGGTAATATTTGAAAAACGATGGAGTTTATCTTAGAAAACTGGACTATTTAAGACAAAATGAAAACAAATTAACAAAGAAGGTGAAGAGGTAATACTTCAAACAACAGCAAAATGTAGCAAATACATTTTGGGGCAATTGAAATTTGCACAACTGAAAGTTCCTTCATTTAGTTAGGAAAATCCTGTAAAAATATTACAACTATATTTCCCTGACTGAAATTATTTTAGTTAATACTCTTCCAATGGCATTACATATGGAATTTGGCTGAAGCACTTTTTCAATTTTTGCTTTTCCTCTCACTCACTTGGAAATGAAAGGCATGAAGGGACACAGGCTACTGTACTAGCCTCTAACAGAAGGAGTTTATCACAGAGCTCCACTATAATGTCATTACTATTAAGGTGTCAATCTCTACTCCAGAAGAACTAAAAAAAAAGCACAGACACCTAGTGCATAAATAGGGAAAATTCTCTTCGTCATTTATATAATTCATAGCCTTTTGCATTTAACAAAAATCAGCACAACTAGCGCACATGCTATGGCATGTTCACATACGTACATGGGCATCAAAGAAACTTTTTGAAGGTGTATCCAAGGGGTGGCAAAATACAGAAGTTTTCAGAAAAGGAAGAAAAGAAAAAAGCAAAGAAACACATTAGCAAGGCTACAAGAGCAAAAGCAGTGGAGGGGAAAACCGCTGAGTTCCCCTTATTGATGGGGAGGAGAGAGGCCGCTGCCCTTGCTGACTGGCGCTACATGCAGCTGGGCTGTGTCACCAGTAAGCAACTTTAAAAATCTAACACAGGCTCTTGTCTGAAAATTCCCACTACACTTGCCCAAACTAGAAGAAAGAGAATATTAATTTAAGGCTAAGAAGAAAAGAGAGCAGAGAATTATAGTCGGCTTCACATTTTTAAAACTAACTTTTCCCCTTCTTTAAATGGGAAGTAGACATGTTTTATCCACTCCCCCCAAATGTAATTATTCTCTTCCTCCCAGAGATTAATCAAGGCTGATAGTTTGAGAACAGGGCATAAGAAACTTCTGAAAAACAGCTCCAGCTTTTTGTTTGGGAAATTGCCTTGGATTCAAAGTTGGTACAAAGCTAAATTATATCCATGTGTTAAACACATGCTTTCAAATTGTTTGACAATAAAAATTAAAGCAGGTAAGAATACTTAACCTCTGTGCATTTTACTATATTTTACTTATACTTCAATAAAAATTTTATAAACATTAAAGCAGGTATACAAAACTGTCAGCCAAACTCATTTAAGTCAAACTCATTTGAAAACAGTAACACAAAAACCCTGACCTGGTACAGATCTCCCAGAAATGGTCTCACTTTGGGAAAGGCTTTGGGATTCTTTATAACTGCCTAAAGTGAGAGAATCAGAGCATTTTCCTTGGAAGTAGTACTTTTGTAGTTTTGTAAACACTAACCACAAGTTAGCCTTTTATGCTTGTTAGTTGGGTTGAGAGAGTTATAAGTGCGTCCCTAACAAGCAAGTCTAGGAACAGGCACTGGACACTTAGAAGCATTAGAAGTATTGACTTGGTAAGTTAAGATACTATGAAAGGAACTCAACCTTGTGCAGAGCCAAGAAAAGAGTAGTGAGTTTGACAATATCTGAGATGTTGGTCCCTGGTTCTTTCCTGAAGAAGATTTCCAAATAACCATGGAGTTAGAAACTTCCTACAGATGAGAGCTCTGGGAGTCACATGCTGTAGCTTCAAAAGATAAGTAGTTTTAGTGTCTGATATTCAATGGTCTCTTGCAAATTTTTTAACAATGCAAGGACTCTTAATACATATGTGCATCAATGTGTTAATAGAACTGGAAAGTTGTCCTAAAGAATTTACCGAGCAAATACTCTGGGTCCAGCTGTTCTCAAGAGCCTCTGGCAAAAAACTTTCGGACAATCTGCAATTCTTTACAATGTGCTTAGGAAAACTAGACTTGAAATGGTTTCCGAAACTGTAATCCAGTTTATTGTGGAAAATTTTATCCTTTTCACTACAATTCCTCCTAACATATGCTAGAATCCTTTTGGTGTATGGGTTTTCCCCAATATATGAGGCAAAGACCAAGACTGAGTTCTTCTTATGAGTTTCTAATTACCTTTGCATTGAACTGTGGGTAAGAGGATGTGTCTTGTTTTTACCATGGCAATCCCGTCTAGAGTCATGGGGAGGATTTTCCCTGTTTGAGCTATCCCTCCTTACCCTGGCTTTCTCTTTATTCCTATCACTTTCTGCTTCTGAATCACTAAGCTCCAAATCTGGGCAATACCCATCATTCTCCTGATATGGAGCTCTCCCTGCAGACCGCCTAACCAGCTGCTTGCCCCAGAGCTGCTCCCTAGGGTTAATATTCTTGGTTGGCTTTGCACAGCACTGCAGGTCTTCTGTGGTTTGCACCCATCTGTTGGTGGCCTCCTTAAAGGACCTGCTGAAGTGTTCCATGGTAGATTTTCTAAAGCTGCCCTGACTGGCCAAGTGGGAGCTAAACATGGATTCCTGCTGGTCACAGAACATCTCGCTTGAGCTGTCTTTTTGGGTGACATCCCCAGACCAGCTGTCTTCTAGACCGTTGGATTTGGGAAACTTGGGATTAGGCGGACTTTTCCCATTCCCAATGGAAGACTGTCCATGTAGGGCAGCCTGAAGGGCCAGAGGCTTTCCCAACGACTGCCCATGATACAACTCCAGAGATGGAGTTTTCCAAGCAGGACTGGGATCCTTGGCTTCACACCTAAAATGGCTGAGACTGGCCAGCAAATGGTTACTCTTGGTCTCTAATGGCTGTCTCAGGTATGATTTCATTTTCACTTCTAGTGACTCCTGAGGCACCTGTGTGTCCCTTACATTGTGAACAAGGGAGCTGCTGTCAGGCGAAAGGGATCCATGATCAGGCTCTGTGGAGCTGCTTCTGTGGTCTTCCAGAGATGATCTGGGCATTTTTAACTTTAAGGTAATTCTTGGTGGCGGGTAAAACAATGAGTTTTCTAGTGAAGTTGTCAAAGGAAGCCCTGAGATAAAAAAGAAAGATTCATTTTAACAACTGATTTAAATAACAGTGTATATGCTTATGGCAGGGTGAGTTCACATACTCTTCCAAATGTCTAACATGTCTCTGATACATATGCATCATGGTATGGCAGCTGGAATGAACTGAACTAGAGGTTGGGGCAGTGGGTGCGGTAAGGTAGAAAACTCAGCAATGCCACTGATGGCTGTGTGACTCCCCACCGCTGCACCTCTGCTCCCCCAGTCTGTAAAACAACCATGAAGACTAGTGCGCTGCCTCCCACATCCCTATCTCTGCCCCTTCCATTTCTGAAAAGAATGTCATTAGCAGTGGTTTAAGAGCAGGGTCTCCCTATGTGTGTGTGTGAGCACGTGTGGCTCCTTGTACGTCACTTATGATGTGCCTTACATAGACATGTCTGATGCTGCCCTCTAACCTCTCCAGAGCTTTCTAAAGCAAGTTGAATACAAACCCTCAGGGATGTAGTGTAGGTTTTGGTGGCTGAAGAGTGCGTGAGTGTGTGTTTTAGGCTGGTATTAGTAGAAGTGGTAGCAGGTGGTTCCTGTGTATTTTATGTCCTTGACTTAACCTAATTTCCTGACTCTGAATGACCATCAATCATGGAGGTGTGGGGCAGGTTCTGCAGTGGCAAGGCCAGCAGGAAGAATTACAACATTCCTGCCAATGGCCTGCTATAGACTTGGTCTGAGGAGTACTAGCAATCAGTTACCTAGTTATGTCATCCTATAGTTGTATTTTGAACAAGTCTTCCTCTCTCTATTATTGTGAGTGCCCTGAAATTTACAAGCACTACCAAACAGTTCCTCCTTGTGTATGGACTTGGCCTTTGTGCATAACCATCTTATTGTATGGAGCCTTACAAAAATGACCTACAGAGGACAACTACTAGGTGTTCCCTCTGGGCAGCATTTGTTCCCTCCGGATCCAGGCTGGATACCACAACCCCTCTCTCTACCAGGGGCTTCCACCTGCTACCAGTGGGACTGCCTCCCACCACTCAGAAGTCACATGCTCTAGGGGCCAATTTCCCTGGCATGCAGGGGCTCCTCCCTGCTGTCCTTTGGTTTTCCTTGTCTTCTGGCTGAGAGGCCCTACTGCCTCTTGCTAACCATTCTGTTGTGACCTGTGATACTCAAAAATAACCCAGAGTCTTTGATACCCACCCAATGCCTTGTTTCTGGGTGTCTCTCTTGCTCTGTGGCTGGCCTTTGGCTGGAGCTGGATTTTGCACATCCTGCCCAGTGACCCTTGGCTGACCAGGCTCTGCCACCAACCTCTCTGTTAAATGAGGCACATGGAGGTCACAAATGTCACCGAGTATGACTGCCATCCTGTCAGCCACGCTCCCTATGCTTAGGGCACTATAATTACGCTCACCCGTTTTTCTCACCAAGTGGACAGTGTACTCTGCAGGCAGTGATTCTATCTTGTTGACTGCTCTATATTCTAGCTTAGTCCTTAGTTCACAGTAGACATTCAACAAGTATTAGTGAATAAGGGAAGAGACAAGAACCCAGATCTCCTGACTTCTGACTAAAGGTTTGTTTTGACAGACTACTGCTAAAGATGAGTAACCTTGGAATTAAATGTTTTCTGGAAACTAGGATTAGATCCTATCCTATTGATTTCTAAATGAATTGATGATTTTAGAAATAATTTCATGTCTCCAACTAATGGCCCCTAATATCTGTCTGGGCCTAGATTATCTGCCCTAGACCTGCAACTCGCCCAAATCCATCCTGGGATTTCTTGCTTCATGAATTGACAGTGAAATGGGTCATGTTATAGCAGGACTGGACTAAAGCAAATCAGATATTTGACAAGAATTTTAAGAGATTTTAAAGTGAAACAACTGACAAGAAATGTAAATTGTTACAACAAGATGTGACCAGAGTCTATATTATTTGTTAGGATGTCTGTAATATAAAGTTACCTGCAGCAATTTCCTGATTAGTAAGCTGGACTTGCAAACTGAAGATCTGTTCCTGTATTTTGTTGTGCGACAGTTTCAGCTTCTCTCTCCTGCTTATCATGTAGCACAGATTTCGGACCTGAAAGCCCAATCCCCAGCACATAGAGATTTTTGTCACATTTCACAAACCTGACCATTCAAATTGTTTAGCTAAAATTAAGACAACTGAAGTCAGGTGGGGAGGTGGCAGTGAGGAGAGAAGACAGAGTGCCAAAGTTGCATAATGAGAGCCACTCCACAGCAATTCCTGCAGCCTGGTCAGTCGGGAGACCATGGTTCCCATACCAACCAGCAGCAGGAGCAAAATATTCCACAACCACCTCCTGAAGCCTACTCTCCCTTCAGTGCCATGGGCTCGATATTTATCTGCATAGCTAGGCTGGGAAGACCAAATGATGATTTAGCATTTCAGCTTCCTCTTGGATCCCTCAGTAAATAATGGCAATGCTTGATCCAGTACAATTGTCTAATGAGTGCTGGAGCAGCAGGATAAAGGTCAGCTGGGAGACTGAAAGTGGCTTTTCCCTTACACTTGCTGCTCGGCCAAGTCTCCACAGCCACAAAGGTAAAACCCTCTTTTTCTTTGTATCCCCCACCTCGACAAATTACTCAACCTCTCTCTGCCCCAGTTTATTCATCACTGACTAGGGATAGGAATAGTACCTTCTTCATAGGCATGTTAGGATCTAAAATACTTACAACAGTGCTACCACATAGTAAGTGCTACATATATGTGAGTTAAATTTTTAAAAGAGAGCCAAATCTATTAGTTTCCTTCTAAATTCTGATAGCAGAGAAAAAGATAAGCCATCTCTATACTTATACTCATAAAATTCTCTTGGGTAAGTACAGGGCCTAACTTATCTTTGAACTCCTTTGGTACCTAATTGGGTAGATACCTGATACACATATCATGAATTAAACTGAATTGTCTGGTTCAGAGGCTCTCAACCAGGTGCAATTTTCTCCTGGGGGTATTTGGTAATCTGGAAACATTTTTGGTTGTCCCAGCTGGGTAGGTCAGGGGAGGTGCTACTGGCATCTGGTAGGGAGAGGCCAGAGATGCTGCTAGATACCTGCCAGTCCAAATGCCAATAGTGCCAAGTTTGACAAACTCTGACCTAGCATTTTCCTGAACAAAATTCATTCTTTCTTCAACCCACAGTCTTGTGTGTCAATAAAATACAGCCAAGCCAGCTTAGGCTCACCAGTGAATAAAAAGTAAGCCAAATGAGAATTTATTTCAGACTTAAGGTTCACAGCACATATGAGTGAGGCCTCTCCAATTCCCTGAATATACCTGCCAAAATTTAAACAGAGCCCAATGCTTGAGGCCACAATGAAATCAGAAGAAAAGCAAGGACATAGAAGCCTGCACTATGCATGGGCTGACCTTAAAAAAACAAACAAATCTGGAAGTGGGGCCTCCATTTCTACACAGACCTAAACACTAGTCACAGAAGGTCACCTTACCCTCTCTAGGTCTTGCCGTAGATGCATAAACATTCTCATGCGAGTGTGAATACTCTCTTCTTTTGGCTGCAGTAGGCCATTTTCTTCATCCTCCTTTGGAGGAAATAATGGCTTATTAAAGTTACTTTTCCGCTTCAGTTTCCAGTAGTTATAGATAAGGTCCACAGTTAGCATGGGCAGGCCCAGCTCTTTGGCCACATCTTCCACACTGACCAGCGAATAGAACTCCTCCTCCAGCTCCTGAAGCTTCTGCGCCCGCAGGCCGGTCTTCTCGCTTTTGGCATGGCTCTGCTCTGAAGCCCTGTATAGGGGGTACTCAGTCTCCCCAGATTTCTGCCCGCTTTGGCTGTGCTTGAGGCAGTATGACTTGAACTTCACTTCATCCCCCTCATCTAGGATGGTCTTCATCTCTAGGTTGTGCTCAAAGGCACAGGTGACGTGGAAGGCAGTGATGCAGCTTTTCACCGAGCACTGCAGGAAGAAAAGATGTGTTAGGGCAGCAGGGCTGGGGTAAAAGGGAAGCCCTGTATCCTGGGCCTAAACTGAGAGCTCATAGGAAGCAAAGGAAAAACAGGGAGAAAGTTGTCCTAAACTGACCATGATAGATGCTTTACAAGTAACCAAGAAAGCTGTTCTTACAGAAAACAGCAAAAAGAGTACAAAAATTTTTTTCAAACTCTCCTTCAAGGTTTCAGCTCAAGTATTAACTTTTCCTGAGAAGTCTTCCTCTTCCTCAACCCCTGCAAAGAGTCATGTTGTACCTTCTCTGTGTCCTCTATATCACCTTATTATATGCTTCCATAATGATACTTTTCACATTGTACCTACAGTATAATAATTGTCAAGTCCCTGGCCATAGCTCTTAAAGGCAGATGCTGTACTATTCATCTTTCTATTGTCATCAACTACTGAACAAATACATGTTCAAGAAGTGCTTCTGAATAAATGAAGGTAAAAACCAAGTCAGTATTATTGCTAGAGCATCTATTGGTTCTAAAGTGGCCACAGGAACTCCGATGTCCAAGTAGCCTAACTTGAAATTGGTCTTACAGAGCTATGCTGTCCAACATGGTAGCCAACTTGCCACAAGTAGTTACTTAAAATAAAATCACATGTGATTAAAAATTCAATTCCTCTGTCACATTAGCTACATTTCAGCTGCATCAGACAGCACAGATTACCATAAATGCAGAAAGTTCTGCTGGGCAGTATGGTTACAGACAATCTGAAATTAAGGTTATACTATCCTGCTGTTCATAGATGGGATACATTGTTAAGTATCACTATTGTACCATGCACTAAAGATTCATAGGTAGCTAGAGCTGAAAGATCCTGACCTATGATTGCTGTACTACTATGGTTCAATTAGTCCCAATTACCATTTGTTATGGTTGCAGTATTTCAGTTTTCCTTCCAAAGATTTAAAATGCATGTGTACATTTATGTGTTTATGCAGAGGAAGGATGGAAAGCAGTGGATAATTTGTTTCTAAAGATAGAGTGAGAATTCCCATGGTTGAAGCCAAGTCTCAAGTCTTTGGGAAGCCTGCATCTGAAAGGCAGACTGCTCAATTTACCTATAGGTTGGGTTTTTGATAATTAAACATAAAGGATAACCTTGGATATGAATAAAGACCCAAGCTTTGGACATCTCTATTGGAAATGTTTGTTATATTACACTGAAATCTGTATCCTTAAACTTCCATGTATTTGAAAACCCTCATGAAAATGAAGATGATGAAGGCCCCAAACTCACTTTTATCTGGTACCTTTTATTATTACCTGGCTAAGAAACAAGCTGCAAAGGGCATCCTTTAGTAAAAGATTAAAAGTATTAGGCATCGTGTTCTTTTGTTGTTTAGTAACTGATAAAAATATGGGAAGAGAAAGCAAAAAGATTTCCCCCTCCCAAGGGGATGAATGTATGACATAAAATACTACTAATGGGAAGCTAAAAGGAGATCATCTCTCTCAGGTCAAATTTATATAATGTAGAGAAATAAATATAAAATACTCAAAATAAAAGACAATACATGAATAAGAATTGGGAACTTAGATAAAAAATGGAATGTCTTCAGGAACTGCCACAAAATCCAACTAGTTTCAAAATACGCTATTTATAGTTGGTGGTCTATATATTTTGGTGGTAAAGGAGAAATGCCAACCAAGTTTTGGTGCCAATGAAATACCTACTTACCTTTTTCCAAAAACATATATTTGGCACATTGTATTAAACAAAATACCTTCATACACAATTATTTCTACTGTTCCACGTAAGGTGTCAGGGGAGGTATTATTATGCCCATTAAAAAAAATCTTAATTGAGACAAAATTTACATATCATAAAACTCTCCAATTTTAAGTATATACTTCAATGGTTTTTAGTTTATTTAGAGTTGTGCAACCATCACCACCACATGATTCCAGTAATTATTATCACCCCAAAGAAGAAACCTCATGCTTATATGCAGTCACTCCCTGTTCCCAACTCCAGCTCCAAGAAACCACTAATCTACTTTATATGTCTCTAGACATACCTATTTTAGACATTTCATGTAAGTGGAATCATACAATATGTGGCCATTTGCATCTGGCTGTTATCATTTAACATGTTTTCAAGGCTTGTTCATATTGTAGCATGTATCAGAATTTCATTCTTTTAAAAATATGACCAAATAATATTCCACTGTATGGATATATCACATTTGTTTATCATTCATCAGTTGATGGACATTTGGGTTGTTTTCACCATTTGACTATTAGGAAATAATGCTCCTATGAACTCTGTGTACAAGTTTTTATATGGACATATATTTTCATTTCTCTCTGGTAATGTGCAAAAAAGAATTAACCGTGCACAAAGAAAGGTTTGAGCCTTTGCCCCAGCTTGTGAGAGGTAACCTCTAAGCCCCTGGAATGTCCTGCCCGATAAGAGTGTCTTTGTTTACCTGGGAGCCTTGGGCCATGTCTATACTAATAATGAGATTTATGGTGGAGGCTTTGGGTCATGTGGATCAGCCTAATCTCTAGAGGGACTGGAGACTAAGGTCAGCCATGCAGATGGTCAGCTATGTCTACGTGTCCAACTCCTAATAAGATTTCTGAACACCAAGGCTTGTGTGAGCTTCCTTGGGTGGCAGTGCCGTGTGTGTATAATTGCACATCACTGCTGAGAGGAATGAGCACTGTCCATGAGACTCCACTAGGAAAGGTTGGCTGGAAGCTCATGCCTGGGCTCTCCTGGACCCTGCCCTGCCTGTCTCTCCCCTTTGCTGAGTTTACTCTGCACCCTTTCACTCTAATAACTATAACCATGAGTACAATGGCTTTTCTGAGTTCTTGGAGTGTTTCTGGTTAATCATGGAACCTGAAGGTGGTCTTGGGGACCTCTCTAACTGAAAGTATATACTTAGAAGTAGAATTGCTGGGTCATATGGTAACTCTATGTCTAACTTTTTGTGAAACTGCCAAACTGCTTTCCATGGTGGCTGCACATTTTATATTCCCACCAGCAATGCATGAGGGTTCCAATTTTTCCACATTCTTGCCAATAATTGTTATTGTCTGTTTTTTGGATTATTACTACCCTAGTGAGTATGAAGTGATACCTCATTTGGCTTATTTACTTTTAAAAGGGGAAAAAGAAATAATTTTCTACATATTCTTCAGAAACTGTAGAAGAGAAATGGGTTTTAAAAATACTTTCATTAGAGGGAAAATGCTACCCTTACACATTCACATTTGTAAGGAGATTTTTCTGTGGAATGAGAAATTTTGAAAAAGAACACCAGGGACTGATTTAGGAATTAAGGTGCTTCTTGCCTCTTTAAAGAAATATTTCATTACCTTCCAACCCCTGAGAGTGTCTTTCTCAAAAGCAGATGACACCAGCCTGGAACACCAAGCATATGCCCTCAGCAGTTCTTGTCCTGCTGCAGGACACTGCCCATTTGGTTGCCCTTAAGCCCCAATAATCTGTGAACAGACATAAGGGTGGTAGGGCAATTTTCTCAAAACTTGGCCACTGAAACAATGTCATAAGTGGTTCAGTTCCAGCCTATGAAACATACTTCAGCCATTGTATACTTAAACTTTAGCATCGACAGTGGCCACCAGCTCTTCTGATCACTCACTCCAAAGGGTCTGTCAGGCCTAAGGGGAGACACTCGGTGTTTTTTCACTATTCCCATGTTTATATCTGGCTTCCCACAATAGATTATAAACTCCTGAAGGCAGGCACCATAAATGTCTTAGAACAGGAACAATTTGTACTGACAAATAAAATTTGGAATATATGGGAAAAATATTCAAGTGCTTCACTCCTGTTGTTGTTTTGGTACCCTTTAATCTCAACATTTATCTCTTTCTCTATCAGTACTACTTTTAACAGTCACTGATTAGGTATTCTTGCATTTCCCCACTTGAGGATTTTCATTCGTTTTTAAAAAGAAGTTTGTTTCTCTCATAGTCAAATTCATATCAGCCTAACAGTAAACTTAGGTGGTTCACTGATTTATCAAGTCGATTTATCTTGACTTGAATATACTTGCAGGTGACTCTAGACATGACCACATTCCTCTAATATCGAAAGGCACACCTACCCCAGTACCAAATATTTGATGATTCTACTCAGTTTGGCTGGATGAAATGCTAGGGCTTTCCATTAGCAAAGTCAGATTGACTCCAGGGAATAATAATATGAACAATACATACAACTATTAGTACCATTAACATTTACTGAGTATTTACTCTCTGTTGGTCACTGTGCTAAGCTCTTTACCACCTTCTTAAGTGGGTATTATTATCATCTCCACTTATAGATGTGGAAACTGGGACACAAATATGGTAGGTAACTTCTCCAAGACTGCCTAACAAGCAAGAGGTGGAACCAGGATTTGAATCCCAGAAGTCTGGCTCCAAAGGCCATATTCTTAATCACTGTTCTTTTTTTCTTCTCAGTGAAGGTCTAAAGTATCAGTATCTAGACTGAAAAGAGCTTGAATACAACATATATAAGGACACTGTAGGAATACTGGAAAGCTGGCAGTTGGAGGAACTGTGTCCAGGGTCTAGGCAAAATCCAGAGCTGTCTGGTGCATCTGATTTGAACTCAGTCTTTAAGATCCATTTCTGGATTATCAGAAGCCTTCATGATCAGGAGAAAGGTTCTAGTGCTGAGCCCACCAATATTAGTTCTATCTTCTAGTCTAGTCTAGATGCTGAGCCCACCAATATTAGTTCTATCTTCACCCAATGAATGTTTCCAAACCAAAAGAAGAGGATAGATGTGGGTATTGACACTGCTGGGAGATAGGAAGAATGAGCACCATTCACAGTTAGTTAAGAAACTTTCATAAACAGTTTATAAAGCAAAATACCCAAAATATGCTACTAATCACAAAGACTCTTAAATAAACCTCCAAAGAACAATGATGCTAATAAAACTTGACCCCTGCTGAATTACTGTATCTG